CCAACGAGACAGATATGTCCCTAAAAGGTTATTCATAGTCAAGTGTAAAAGTATACATAAGATCTGTTGCGAGTATGCTAACAAGCAATGGTCAGAACCGAACCACTTTTTCCACTCTCACTTTTTTTTTTTTTCTGCGGAAATCCAATTTGATATTGGCAAAGGTTGATGTAGTACTCATCCTTGAAGTGCTTTGCGAACACATACAAAATTTAACCATGCACTTCTCAGTGGTCCGGGAGCTGGAAGCAATGAACACTGTGGGTTTGTACAGCCAAGTACAGAACACTTTGGTTGTGCTTTCGACATCCTTACTGATTGGACTACAAAATTACCAAGATGGCAGACTCGCTAAACCAATTGACCAGAAGCTGTGAACTTGTATGGACATATCTGCTGCAAATACAGTGACGACATAGTCAAAAATACATTACAGAAAAAGCTGAAAACCCAACGGGTTGAAAAATACGAGTCAAAATTGATATAAAAATACCTCGGCAGCACCTGTGACACTTAAAATACACTTTTCTGCACTCCTTGACACCACAATTGCACAACTAAATGCATTTAAAGCTCCAAAAAGATGCATGATATGTCCCCTTTAAGTTTATCGCACACTTTGATATACTTCTGTTGCAGTTTTTTAACTTTAATCCGGCATTGCTCTGGAGACCGATTGCAGCCTTTCTTCCTCATCTTTTTGCTAAATATAGCAAATATTTTGATGTTCTGGTGTGTTGATGACATTTGTTCTTTAATGTGTTCATCCGATTAGATGTCGATGAAGGCCCTAATTTCTTCAGACACCCACGTGTGTCCATGTTTGCAGAGGATTGACTCATGTCTTCTTCATTCACAACAAACAGGAAATTAAATAATAGAGTATCCCCTCCCACAATGCATTTTGAATAGTTCATATGAACCTACTGTCTAAGGTTTGGACCCGAGTCCACGTTCACACCAGAAGGACCACACCAGAGTAGGGCATTTGGTGTAGATCAAGCGGACCAAGACCACCTCTTTTATTGAGGTCTCGGTCCACTTGATGTGCGTACCAACTGCTGTCGGTGTGAAAGCACACTAAGTCACAAAATGATTTTTCAGCTGACTCTGTCCAAATGATTTTGTCATTTGTCCTGAGATTCTTTGAAATATTCTGAATTACTGCAGCCACTGTGGAGAAATGCTACTCACTGAATGATCATAGGAGCTGCCCGGGGCATCATGCCCCTGGAAGGGTCTCCTATGGCAAACAGGTCCTGGGTGATGGGTCAGACTAAGAGCAGTTCACAGCACAAAACACCGAAGACCGGGATGTCACTTGGTATGGTTCAGCGGGGGTCCCACTCGGATACTCGGATGTAAGTGCCTGGTGGCCTTGCCTTTGCCCACAGGGCCTGGCCAGGCTTAGCCCAAAAGGACGACATAGCTCCACCCTCCTGTGGGCTCACCACCCATTTCACAGGGGTCAGGTGCGCAGAGGACTGGGTGGTAGTCAGGGATGGGTGTCTCGATACCACATGCTGGAGTTCACCCCAATGAACAAGAGCGTCATGTCCCTGCGCTTTCGGGTCAGGGACAGGACTCTCACCATTGTGCTGGCCTATGGGCCGAACAGCAGTGCAGAGTACCTTCTTGGTGTCCCTGGGAGGGGTACTAAACAGTGAACTAACCAGGGACTCTGTTGTTCTACTGGGGGCAGTGCCCACCTGGGCAACAACAGTCACATCTGGAGAACGGTGATCAGAAAGAACGCCCTTCCTGACTTGAACCCGAGCGCTGTTCTGTTACTGGACTTCTGTGCTAGTCACAGTTTGTCCATAACACCATGTTCAAGAACAAGGGTGTCCATCAGTACCAGGACACCCTAGGCTGGAGGTTGATGATTGACTTTGTTGTTGTGTCATCTGACCTCCGGCCATGTGGTTGCAGAGGTAAAAACTTAGGGGTGGGAGGAGTTCAAAGAGGCCATGGAGGAGGAATATCTGTTGCCCTCAAAAAAAATTCAGGCAAACCGTTAGGCGCCTCAGGAGGGGGAAGCAGTGCTTCACTAACACTGGAATACTTTGAGGATCTCCGGGTGTTATGGGGCTGTCTTGGCTGACATGTCTATGCAACATCACGTGGCGGTCGGGGACAGTACCTCTGGGTGGCAGACTAGGGTGGTGGTCCTTGTGTTAAAAACCCTCATGCTCTCCTTGGGGTCACACAGACCTGAAGAACCATTTTTTTTCCTTCCCGCTCTCTTGGGCCGAGTCAGTCAAACCCAAAAATTTATTTTCTAGCCTGGCGAGGAAGTAAATGAAAATAAATTTTTGGGTCTGATTGACCCGCCCCAAGTGAGCGGGAAGGAAAAAAAAGTTTCTTCGGGTCTATGTGACCCCGAGGAGAGCGTGAGGGTTTTTAAGAAAGACCGGAGGGTGTGTTCTAGCTACAGGGGAATCACATTCCTCACTCTCCCCGGTAAAATCTATTCTAGGTGTACTGGAGAGGAGAATCTGACTGATAGTCGAACCTCAGATTCAGGAGGAGCAGTGTGGTTTTTGTGACAGCCATTGAACACTGGACCAGCTCTACACCCTCCATCAGGTGCTTGAGGTTATGTGGGAGTTGCTGCCCTTTGTCATTGGTTCTGCTCATTGTTTTTATGGACAGAATTTCAAGGCACAGTCAGGGGCTGGAAGGGGTCTGGTTTGGGGACCACAGAATCTCATCTCTGCTGTTTGCAGATGATGTTGTTCTGTTAGCTTCATCAAGCCAGGATGTGCATTGGGGCGGTTTGTTTATTTATTTTATTATTATTATATTATTATTATAGACAGGGACAGCGGCCAATTTTTGCATTAACCTTAACAGGAGAGATGCATCGTACATCAGGTTGTAGCATCAGTGCTAATTTCCACCTGTAGTCCCTGGGCAGGTTCATTGATTGATTGTATTTAACTGACCTTGACTATCAACTATTCTGGAGACCTATGTAGCATGTTTTGGGTTGATGGGGAAACCGGAGCACCCAGAGGAAACCCATCCAGACATGGGGAGAAACATGCAAACTCATGAAGCTTGCAGCTGAGTGTGAAGCGGCTGGGATGTAGATCAGCTCCTCCAAATCCGAGGCCATGGTTCTCGACCGGGAAAAGGTGGCTTGCCTTCTCCAGGTTGGTGGAGAGTCCCTGCCTCAGGTGGAGGAGTTCAAGTATCTCAGGGTCTTGTTCACGAGTGAGGGGAGGACGCAGCGTGAGATTGACATGTAGATCGGTGCAGCGTCGGCAGAGTTGTGGTCACTGTATCGAACCGATGAAGAGAGTGGTGAAGAGAGATTTACCGGTCAATCTTTGTTCCTACTCTCATCTATGGTCATGAGATTTGGGTAATGACCGAAAGGACAAGATCGCGGATACAAGGGGTCGAAATTAGTTCCCTCCACAGGGTGGCTGGGCACTCCCTTAGAGATAGGGTGAGGAGCTCAGTCACACGGGAGGAGCTCGAAGGAGAGCCGCTGCTCCTCCACCTCGGGCATCTGTTGCAGATGTGTCCTGGGCGCTTCCCTTGGGAGGTGTTCTGGGCATGTCCCACTGGGAGGAGGCCCCGGGGAAGACCTAGGACACACTGGAGGGACTATGTCTCTCAGCTGGCCTGGGAACGCCTTGGGGTCCCCCCGGAGGAACCGGAGGATGTGTCTGGGGAGAGGGAAGTCTGGGAGTCCCTGCTTAGACTGCTGCCCCCGTGACCCGGCCCCGGATAAGTGAAAGCGATGAAAAAAATAAATACATAAAACAAAAACAAAAAAACAATGATTTTAAAGAAAAATAATGAACGAAAGTGTTACGGGCAGGGGAACTTGTCATGTTGGAGGTCCCGATGTAACAATGATTACATGGTATTTGATTCCATTGCATTTTGGTTGAATAGCGACCTCTTGTGACCGGTAGTGATAAGTGCCACTGGAGCCAGGAGCACATTCCAGTTCATGAGAGAATGGCACGAGCTGGATCACTGATTTTAGCTCTGTCGGTATAAATTGTGTATTTCTGTTTAATTATTTATTATATGATCAGAACCTAATTGTACATCTTATTTATGTCATCTGGAACATTTATGAGGTAATATTTTGTACGATCTTTGAGTTATTACACAGTAATTGACTTAGAACATGTCGTGAAAGAAGCTAACTTTTAGATGCTAATGTGACTTGCTATCCATGTAGAGTGCTGCTTGCCGTGTTTAGCTGAGGTATCCTGACCAGTATGTTCTGTTTCATGCAGGTACATTTTATTTTACTGTAAAAAAGTTCATATAATGTATACTATATAGGCCAGTTCAGGAGAGATGGGCACGAGAGTGCTGCTCGCCGTGTTGAGCCGAGGTGATTGGTAACACAGTCTGGTGCAGTTCACATAGATAAGTCTAGTTCCATATAGTTCCATTTTAGGCAAAGCAAACTCTCCATGGAAACAAGCAGATGGTGTACCCCTACCAGAAAAGTTACAGCCCATTAAATTTCAGCTTAAGCATAATAATTAATTACATTTACACTATCCTTGATCACAACCTATATAGAACACAAACTAGGAAAATACTAAAAAATATTTTTAAAATTCAAAATTATGTTTCAGTTTATAATTCTAATTTACAGATACAATTAAAAACATCCAGAAGACTTACCGAGGTAGCAGAGGCAGCCTCCGCCTCTAGGGGGCACTTTTTCCACAGTGGTAATATTTAACCACTGTGTAAGACAGTTCAGTAACCTGTTCATATCTGCAAGTTCTTATATTCTGTTGCTGTTATACACTGTTTAGAATAGGTTACATTCATGTTCTAGGATTTGATGATGTAATGCAGTATGTTTGTTTATTGTCTACCTTCTTAAAAGTCAATCGGTTGAATTCACTGATCACAGTAGTTTATACAAAAATTTTGTGATAACATTTGGTAATAGGCAATATTCTTAAGGTCATAGTATTCAAAAAGAACACAAAGAGGTAGTAATGTGTTGCACTGTTTATTGGTGAATATGGTGTATAGATGGGTAGATCAGTTTTATTCAGACTTAGTAATGGTGGGCAGACTGGGCAGCACACTGGTCCAGAAGGTCACAAAGCGCATTCTCATATTCTGGTGGACAAAGCCCTGGCCCATGTCGTTGCGGATCTCTAGGAACTTGTCTCCACCACTCTGGAACTCCGGCCAAGCAACAGGGACCGCCGAGCCACCCTGGTTTGGATCTCTGAGGAGGAACAAGGAGAAAAGTTTTTAAAGGGTTCTAGATCTTAAGAGGTTTCATTGGTGAATTATAATTGAAACCATAGACAGTATATATAGTAAATGGACATAGCTAACCCACTAGCTGCGGCGTTCCAACTAGAAAGTCTGCATGCAAGTGTTTCCAGCCCCTACTGACCCTGGCTCCCACGCTCTTACACTGGAATATTGTCGCCCCTCTCTGTATCACAAATATCGTCATGGTAAAGTGGCCATGTTCTAAGACTGTGAAATTGTAGTCAAAGAACCCATGCAAACTGACAGGGAAAGCACATCTTATTGATACTTTAGCTGTGTTCAACTGGTACTCCTGAACTTGAAAAATGCACAAGAACGCTCACCAGAAGTTCCAATGCAGCAATTTTTTCTTTCTAAAACATCAATAGTTCTGGCTGTGTTGTGTTCACTTTGTGGTAAACTTTCCAAAATTTCATGGATTGAGTAAAATTTTAAAATGCCACCATGATTTTTGATGGCTAGAAGATTTCTGATGGTTAGAAGAAAAGGGTACGTTTTTAATTTCGCCATTTTTAAATGGCCAGAAAATCCACATAGTTGAATTTTCAATCAGATCTCTTCATGTACTTCTACTACTCACGCATGTGCCTTTATGTATGTATTCATGTATTTACATTATAGGGCTGTTTTGCCATAAAAGTACTCCAGAAGTAAACTTAAAAATGTTATTTTATTTTTTTAATGTGATATTTTCAAAATTAAAAGAGTGACTTGGGAAACTTGAGCTAAATTTATTACAGCTTAGAATATGTCAATAATTTATGGTGGAAAAAAATGGTCCATTATTTTATTTTGAAAGGAAGAGCATTATGTGTGGGGGAAAAAATGCCATATTCCCATTGACTTCCATTATAAATGCATGGCATGACTAAAACAGTATAATAAGATGAATTCTAACAGAAATGGGAAAAAGCTGGTCTGGTTGTTCTTATCTGAAAGTAAACATGGTATGAGAGTCCAGGACAGACAATGTGACCCTGTGACTGCCCCCCTGTGGCACCTGGGTGAACACACAACTATCAGTGTCAAACAACTATCCCTCAAACAATAGTATCTCCCCTCTGATTGGCCAATGCAAAGTCTGTAGATATATTGATTATATTTTTGATGTGTCAAGGTCTAAATAAAGACTAAGAGCTGACCAGGTCATTTTCACAACATCCATTTTGGATCAGAAAATGAGAAGAGGCTAAAGTAAAGAGGAGACTCTTGGTGCTGTTGTACAGATGACTGAAGAAGTGGATCTCAACAGTCAATATGAGGAGGAGGATGAGAGCTCAAAATATGACCTGAAATGAATGAGGTGATGAATGTCGCTTAATTTTTAAGGTGACCAGGGGGTTGAATAAAAAAATAATAATGACATACTCATTATAAAGTAATTTTTTTGTTCCACAGTGCACCTTTTAGATGACATGAGCAGAGTTCATACCCAGTTTTGGCGAAGTTGGTCCAGTATGCGATGATGTATTTGGACAGGTCCCTGTGCTTGGGCCAGTACCCCAGAGGAGTGGAGAAGGGCTTCCCAAACACGTACTGCAGGTCGTCCGCATGGTCTGCTCCCATCCAGTCGGGGTAGGGCGTGATCAGTCCCCCCATGCGGCTCGGCTCAGAGAACAGGTACGAATATGTGCGGCCAGTTCTATAGAGGGACACAACAAATAGATAATGAGCTTACATTGATTACTATCTATAAAGATTAGTATTATTACTTAAAAATAGCATAACTTAATTAGAACTATAGTAATGTTCAAAGAAATTAATCAAGTAAAAATTAAACGGTATTAAACTACTACTATCATTTTATATTGTCAGTATAAAGTTTTTGTCAGTCTCAGCCAAGGAAAAGATAACTATAACTTTTAATCAAGTACTGTTAAACTTTCAAATATTACTCAGGAAGAAGTATGGTGAATGAAAACTACTCTGAGAAGTCACTTTTGTTGTCAAAGTTGCATCTCCACAAACCTGACTGGAGGAGGATGGATATCCTGACTTTTATAAGATTTAAAATTGTTCTCACGTGGAATGTTGGGCGTGGAGGTACAGAGCAGCCTGAGTGGGCACCAGGAAGATGTAGTCTGTCCCGATGGCCACGGCGGCCTTCTTGATGGTCTCGCGGTTCGGACTGGTGCCCCAGCTGGCGGAGTAGGTGGAGAAAGCTGTCTCCATGCCAGCCTTACCTTTGTCTTTGGTGTATGAGCCCAGCAGTGTCTTCAGGTCTTCACTGTAGCAGACAGACGAGAGCAGCACAAAATAAAAGAGGAAATTATTGCCAGTCTTGGGCCTAGAAGGCACATGCTTGTTTATCGTGTGTATGATTTGATTTTGTATGTGTTAGGATGCTCCCTTGTCTCAGAGGTACTTTTAAATTAAGTTATAATAATAAAATAAATGTACCGACATTGCATGAAAACTTGCTAAAGGTTGGGCTAGTGTGAGCGCACCCTTAAAGTGCATGTTTTCTAAATACTACTTGGGTCTAAGGACTGGGGAAGCTCTGGAAAAGTTGTCCATTTCCTTGTTTCCTGTGACTGCTGGTTAATCTGCTTGTCTGTTAATAAACAGAAATGACTGTTTCATTGTTTGACTTTCTAACTTTCTATTGATTAAATCAGCAATTTTGTGAAGCCCTGTGACATAACTGCCATTGTGATTTTTGGCTATACAAAAATAAACATAAAATAAATGGATTGAATTGATGTACATAGCACCCATATTGAATATCTTAATCTTTTTCCAATATTGTGCAGCCCTGGCTGAAACCTATAAATAGTCAATAGCCTAACTCACATGGGCGTATCCACCAGCATGGAGTTGATCGAGGGGATGTCCAGTGCAGTGAAGATGTGTCCGTCCATGTCATTGACCCCGGCGATGTAGTCGATCTCAGCAGCGTTGTGGAACAGATTTGAGGGGTGGTCTGGCAGGAAGTCTCCATCCACCACCGCAGACAGAACCAGGTTATCCACCACAGGCTCTACATGTGGACACACTTTGGATTAGGAATGAACTTTCTGTCAAAAATATAGTATATTTTACACACATCCAGTGTGTTCACTATGAACATAATTGGATCACAGTCTAATGATGGTTTAGTGACTTAAAAACAGAGCAGAAGTCCAGAATTCTACCTATGACATCACAATCCAGGCAAAATGCAAACATTTTTGAATGCTCATAGAAAATGACTTTGTATTGATGGATTAATGACACTAGCGTGAATGAAGTATAATTCAACTTCAAGTATGAATTTGATAAGTTGACAATGTAACATGGTTGAAAGTACAAACATGGTTATTATCAGAAATTGAGAAATTTAACAGTGCAGTCTGGGAAATTATTCCAGCTCTCAAACTACAATGAACTGCCCTGTAGCTCTACCAGTAATCTGTATCTGTAGTAAAGTCAGAAACCTAAAATAAAAAATAAAATAAAAATAAATAAAACTTAACTAAGGATTGTTGTAAAATAATGGCAAAAATATAACAAATATGAATTACGGGAAGGGGAGCTTTGAATGTTGAGGGTCCCAGCCATGGTGATGGCCACAGGGTCAGTCATCTTGAGACAGGCCGCCATCCTGCTGTCAGTTGGACAGTTCACCTTCAGAGCCACCTGATACACACACAAAGAGAGTAAGGTTTTGGAATGAAAATATACAACTGGAATTTCAACGGAACTAGCCTGTACTTAGAGTTTAAAAAATGTTACATACATACATACATACATACATACATACAGTATTACTATGAACTATGAGTTGTCAGTACTTTAAGATAGAGGACAAATACAAGTTTTTTCTCTTTCTCGTTATATAGATGGACCACACCAGATTATAAAATGGTCATCATGTCCAAGAATTTTCTAATTAAGAATAAATCAGCATTATACTTGTTATCAGTAAAAGTTATATTTGATTTGAACATGTTTACCTTATATCTTTGAACACAGTTAGATCATGTTTATTGTATTAAAAATCAAGATGTTACATATGGTTTCTTTAAAGAAGACATATTATGCTTAAGGCATTTAATATTAAACTATAAATGACTTAGGTCATTAATTTGCATTTTTTTTTAATAAGAAAAAAGCCTCCTCCTTTATTTTTTAAGTGAGACAGTCCTTTTCAAAATAGGCCCTTTGGTGACAGGAATGTCATTCTTGAACAATTTTGACAATTGCTCGTTCATGCTGGATACAGAGCAACATTCTGTAAATACTGACATATATTATATATTATATGATATTGATTGGAGAAAACAGAAGAAAACAACGAGGACAAAGATGGTTCCACTCTCAACACATCTTTTACAAGGTCATGTGCTTTTGATTTTCGCTTTTGATACGCAGATATTCACTTTAATTGTTGCCTCTAAGGGCACATTTTCTCACCGCAAAGGACACTACATGTTTCACAGACCTTTTATTGTTGTTATTATTATATATTGATAGTCCTGTCACACCTTGACGATTTAGCCAGCATATGCTGACGTATGAAAAATTTGGTAAATACGCTGGCGTACGTCAGATAAGTTATAGCTAAGTTTTGTATAAGTTCTGAGCACACTGAAGCACGCTGGCATACGTCATCATACAACAAGGTCGTCAAAAAATTTTCAGCATGCTTAAAATTTCTCAATGTATGTCTGCACATGCTTATACGTCCTGCATACGTGGGCCATAAGTTGTAGGTACATTATGCAATCGTTGACACACATAAGTAACTTACAATTAACGTGTGTGAATAAGTCCAAATTCGTTGAGATAATGTCTAGTAACTTATGAATAACATGCTTTGAACCTGTGTGTAACTTATGTCAAACTTACCTCTAACGCATATTGACGTATGCAGATGTATCTGACATGCCCCAGAAGACCACAGAACTTACTGAACGTGTTTCGAACTTTTAGCTACTGTATAATGGCGTGGGAAACAGTCATTTGCATTTTAAAAAAGCGCGTCATGTAGGCGATCTGTGAAGAACATCATATAGCCTAAATAAATCCTAAATTGAACCAGCTCAATGAGAAGACTTTATTACTCACCCAGCATTATCCATAGAATTTGTTCTCCGCAAATAATGACATCCAGTCCACAAAACCGCGCTATTAATCCATTTGAGTCGTTCTTTGAAAGTAAAAAGGCAAGAGTCGCACATGTGTTTGTTTACAACCAGCATGTGTGTGAAGCTGCAGATTAGCGATAATGATTCTATTTCCTGTGGACTTTATCTCCAATCTTTTATGCTTTAAAAACCATGTATCTGAAGTACTGCCTCACATTTCACAAATAATAACACAGTTTTGTCTTGTATCTAAACTAGAAGTGCAGAACAGTTAAGAGTCTCAAAGCGACTGGTTTTACTCTAGACAGAAAACAGCTGACGCGATCGCGCTCACAACTTTACAGCCTGTGGTCTGCAGACATATCCTGCCGCTCTATACCTACCGACCTATCAATCAATCTGCTGCATTCAGCATCATGGACAGCAAGAGACGTAAAATATGGCGTATCGGAATAGCAATCCCAAAAAGATTGGAAAACTGGCATATCTAAATAGAGGCATGTTATAATACCGAGTTGTCTAAAGGCTGGGATGTCGGAATGAAGGGATGTTGGAATAGGTGGCGAAAACTCACTGTACCTATTGCGTGCCAATAGAGCCAGGAGTTTTCTTCAGCGTGACGCTTATTAATAATGTTTCTACTGTGATATCTAATGCAGCTATGATTTAAATTGTCAAGCAGCAGCCTTTTTTTTTATAGGCGATAACATAGGGCCATGCACTATGCATAAGTTAGGGTGACCATATTTCCGTTTGTGAAAACCCGGACATCTTTGGGGGGAGGGGGGGGCTTTTTTTTTTTTTTTTTTACAGGGTATGAATGCGTATTGTATATTACAGGCGGGTAGTAATTACACATGGGTGGGTCAGGACTAAACCAGGTCTAAACCAGGACTAATCTTGGACTTAAGAGAGAGAACGCCGAGCAGTCGCAAAGCACGATCGGGCAATTGCCGCGTTTACCTCCGTGAGGTGCGGAGCTCTCCATCGGTCCTTTCTCCTGTGGTCACCTCCGAGCCTGTCCTGACGGTGAGTCCTGTTTCAGTCCTAGTTTAGTCCTGTTTTAGTCCTAGTTTAGTTGTGGATTAGTCCTCCTCTTCAGTCCTGGAATCAGTCCTAGGTTAGTCTTGGTTCAGTTCGTGGCGTAGGCAGCGCAAAAGTTTGATATAATCTCTGGTTAATGGGCAGGTGCAGTCCTGTCCTGTGCGGTTGCGGTGTTGTACTGGGGGTCTCCAAAAAAGGACCCTTGCAGGACTCTGCACTGAAGGCTCCATTACGGAATAAATTAATCTTCAGTTCGTTACATAAAGAAGGAGGAAAATAACAAAAGGATGACAGCAGCAATAAGTTTCAAGAAGGAAGTAAAAAGGGTTGCACCTGCCCTGTCTGAGAAGAGTTTATAAAGTGTGTACTGAGGGGTTTTACAGCCTTAAAACAGATAGAATAATTGTAAAATATAAAGTTGACTACTTCGCGGATTTCACCTACTCTCACCTCACAACCTGTGCACTTGGCCTCCCACTTGTCCCGACCGGGATGGAAAAACGGAGAATTTCTTGTACAAGTCATTGTTAAATGTGCATTTGTGCTTCGGTATGTTGCAGGCTGACTGACTGTAATGCCCCTAATGAACGGTACTGAAAACCCAGACATTTGCATCACTTTGTAAAAAAAAAACCCGGACGCCCAGGACAGGACGCAAAATACGGACATGTCCGGGGAAAAACGGACCTTTGGTCACCCTAGCATAAGTTGTGGATGCAGGCAACACACTGAGCATTAGTTGGTATCTATAAGTTATCGAAACATTCTATATAAGTTACTAATGCATCATGCACACGTCCTACTCATTATGAATATGCTATGTGTACGCCCAAAATTGATTAAAAAAAAAAACATCGATAGTTCAGCATATGACAGCGTTTTAGGGAAATTCTGGTATGTCGGCATACACTGGCTAAATCATCAAGGTGTGACAGGGCCATTAGTACACACATGAAATTAGCGCAGTTTATCCAGTGTTTATGCCCCTGGGAGTGAAGGAGTACAGCCTGTGAGTCCCGTTAATGCAGTGGAACACTATTTGGCAGAGTCAGAGCGCGGGCCTCCTTTCTTTAGTATAGATGTCTGATACCCAGACACTTTTAAGCTATTGTACTTTGAGCGTGAAGGCTTGTGGGCTAGCTCTTAACTCCGTGCGTGTACAGGAGCTATTATACTTTTAGCATGAAGGCTAGCAGGTTAGCTCTTAACTCCATGCGTGTTTATTCCAGACCACACCATGGGTGCTCCATGTCAAATTAATGAGGTGTCAATACCAGCAGAAGCCCACACTCACAGTATCGATACTGTGGCATTTCAATACCGTGGTATACCTTAATACCATTCATCGTCCCATCCCTAGATACCAGACATTATTTTTACAGGGCTTCTATTACAGTAGTATATCTAATTCATTATTTTATCATATAATGTATGCAATTTAATTATAGCGCGGCCTACTTTCACAATTCATGCACAAAGTAAAGAAAAGGGTACTGTCAAATCCACAGTATGGATTTTGGGCAAATAGATCAACATCCTTAGCACTCATTGACAGAGTTCAGCAAATCACAACTTCCTTAGTTAAAAAATAAATGCAATAGAAGTCTTTGTGGATCTGACCAAAGCTTTTGACAATATTGAACATGCCATTCTAGTTAAGAAACCAGAGCGACATGGGATTAGGGGCATCACTTTACAGTGGCTCAAAAGTTATCTGAGTGACAGAAAACAATATGTAAGCATGGGAGAACTACTGACTGTGGAGTTCCACAAGGGTCTATATTGGGTCTAAAACTATTTATTGTTTACATTAATGGTTTGTGTCATGTGAAACCAGTATTGTTTGCTGATGCTGTTTTGCTCTAATATCGATCTGCATGAATTAATAATAATAATAATAATAATAATAATAACATTCTGGTTTAATGGAAAAAAAACTATCACTTAATATGAACAGAACTAATTGATGTATTTTGGAAATGAGATGAATAATACAGAAATCAATATATAAACATTATCAGTATCAGTGCATCCCTAGTTTGTTAGCAATAAGATATTGACTGCAATGTGCTCTCACCTCCTCAGCAACCTTGCGTGGGTTCTTGATGACACCCCAGGGACACAGGGACACTCCGCTCTGAGAGATGGCTCTACGGATCAGGCCCTTGTTGTGTGGAGTCAGGGTCTGTCACAAAAACAAACATTCATCAAAGACTGGGGACTACTTGTGGCCATGCCAGCTTGTCAAAGCCTGATCCCGTCAGGTCTCAGAAGCTCAGCAGGACTGGGCCTGATTAGTACTTGGATGGGAGACACTGGGAAAATCAGGTACCACAGGGGGGTGCCAGTCGTAAAAAGCTGTTGTTGTGTCCTTAGGCAAGGCACTTCACCCTCATTGCCTAGTATGAAAGTGGTGTGTGTGCGTGAGTGATGGTGGTGGTCGGACGGGCAGATGACGCAGATTGGCAGCCTCGCTTCCGTCAGTCTATCCCAGGGCAGCTGTGGCTACAGTAGTAGATTACCACCACTGGGTATGAAGTGAATGAATAATGCTCTGTAAAGCATCTTTGAGTGTCCAAAAAAGCACAATATAAAACTGATGCATTATTATTATTATTAATATTATTACTATGACTGTCAACAATATTCTAGTGTTATGAAACAACAAAATATCAATCAATATGAATGTCAATAAAAATAAAAATAAAAAGCTAAACTACTGCAAGGGCTACACAATATGTTGCAAATTATCAGTATCACAATATATATTCAAATGAACTCATGCTGTTGATGGGCAGATGCACATTATTGGATGAACTTGCCAACAACTCTTGGGTTACTTAGATTTGGTCAAACTTCATATTATTACAACCTTATTGTTTATTTCTTTAAAAAAGTCAACTATATCAAAGCCAGTGTGATTGGTATTGGCCGTGTCTGTTGTAAGCATAGACTGTATATATAAATGAACATAGGTAAGGCACTAGCTGCTTCCAGCTCCTTCTGACCCTGGCTCCGATTGACTTACATTGGAGTATTGTGTCTCTTTGTAACTGCTCTTGTGACCCTTGTCATTTTGGTCTTAAAATGTTTGTATGAACCTGATCTGCATGATCCTATTTATAATATTCATAATTTAGAGGCTCCAAATTCTCCCCTGTAAGTGTTAGCATCGAAAGCTTCATTTGAGTGGAACCAATGGCTATGGGTGGGATCACACTCGCTTAGTCCACTTCTTTATACAGTCTGTGGTAGTGGTCCATATTGGTTTTAGGCGATCAGACAATGGGCCTCAAAAATCACCATCTGAGCACCTCTATGATAAACCAACAGAAACAATAAAAGATGGAGCAAACCTGGAAGCTGACACTAGCGCCCCCTGCAGACTCTCCAAAGAGGGTGATGTTGTTGGGGTCTCCTCCGAACGAGCGGATGTTCCTGTGCACCCAGGCGATGGCAGCCTGCTGGTCCCACAGGCCGTAGTTTCCTGAAGATCACAAACCATTATATTAACAGGACGTCCCACCAACAGTGAGCACTGTGCATGGGTTATGTAAAGCAGTGAGAGGAGGAACAGTGAGGTTTCTCCTGTTTGACTGTTGCTCTGCTCATTTTGGAGGCTACTGCTTTTATTCAGAAACACACCATAAATAACTGTATTAGGCCATAACTTCAGAATTCATTACTGCAAATGATAAGGCCTTAATATGTATTACATATGTTTTTGACAGTTTTTTTCACTACATAATTTCACAGCCATTTAATGGTTTTAAACAATATGAAATACATGAAACGTTAAATATAATAGTAAGATAACTGACAAGAAGTATTAAACTATAACAGGTCTATACCTCATACTTCACTTTATGACAAAATCTGATCCACTCAAAGGACAAAACACTGAGCCACAAACAAAGCAATGTGGTCTACTCCATTGAGTTTAGTGAAGACTGCAGTGAGCACTACATTAGAAAAAACAGCCACTTCACATGAGGATGAACCAACACAGACAAGAGAGCAGCAGTGGACTTCAGTCTGCTGTACATCTCCACCTAAAAGCCACGGGCCACTCCCTTGACGATAGTGAGGTACAGATTTTAACCAGAGAAAAGAACTGACTTGAGAAGGGAGTTAAAAAAGCAATTTTTGTTAAGAAAGAGAATCCTTCCTTAAAAAGAAATGGAGGCCTCAAACATCATCTATCTCCTATTTACAACTCCATCCTCAAACCTAAATCAAAACAAACAAAGAAAACAATAGGGATATCCAGGTCAGAAAGAAAAAGTCTCACCAGGGAGATCAGACTGTCCGGTGCTCAGGAAGCCCAGGGGTCCCACACGATATCCCAGAGTCACCACAATGACATCCCCCCTGTCTGCGATCTCCTGTCCATCGTACAGGTAGTTGTCCAGGAAATTGGCCCCCATGGAGCCCCCCACCAGGAAGGCCCCTCCATAGATCCACACCATCACAGGCAGGTTGGAGGAGACTGAAACAAGTGGCAGTTTTATAGAGTTAGAGTTTATACTGAGGGCTGAGAAGTGTCGTGTGTATGTTTAAATATAGGAATATGTTAATATTTTGTCAGACAATTGGATTTTTTCCTGTGTCATTTCATGCAACAAAATTACATCACAAGTTGTAGATGAGAGATTCAAGGATGATGGATGAAGTAAGGTGACAGACTAATTTCACGAAAACATACTTTTTTTCCTACACTGTACACATCTTGTTTCTCTGAGTTTGACAATTTTGCACCAGTTCCAAATACCCTGCAGTCCACATGGCGCATACTGACCCTGGCTCCCATTGACTTACATTCGACAACATCCCAGTTAAGGTGAACAGCTCAAACAGTGTTGGCGAAGGCATTGGACAGTTTGCCAGAATTTCTTTGACGCCAACCGACAGTCCTCCTCCATGGCCTCGCCAAACTCTTCCCAACCCCTATTTTGTGCCTCTATGACCACTTGGACTCCAGCGCGCTTGGCCTGTCACTACCGGTCAACTTACCTCTCCTTGAACCACTATCTTAATGTGGCGGAGGGGTTTGAGTGAATGATCCTAGCAGCTATGTTATTGGGGTCTTCATGCCCCTGGTAGGGTCACCCAAGGCAAACAGTTCCTGGGGAACGGGTCAGACTAAGAGCAGTTCAGAAGCCCCCTATGACGAGCAACACACAGAGGCCAGTGACGTCGCCCAGATTGGTGTTAATTGGGCTCCATCCTGGAGCCAGGTCTAGGGTAAGCCCGAGGAAGCAACGTGGGACCATCACCCTGTGGACCCACCACCCACAGGAGCATCCATTTCTCCACTTCTCTGGCATTACCCGTGGGGCGTGGCAGCAAGCAGGTGTGGGCCTGCTCATTGCCCCACACCTCAGCCACCATGTGTTTTGCTGGAGTGTTGTGTAACTGCGCCTTCAGGTTGGGGATAGGTCTCTTACTGTTGCGTCAGCTTATGGGCCGAACAGCAGTGCAGAGTACCCAGCCTTCTTAGAGTCCCTGGGAGGGGTACTAGATAGTGCACCGACCAGGGACTTCTTTGTTCTACTGGGAAACTTCTATGCCCATGTGGACAATGACAGTGATGCCTGGAGAGGGGTGATTGGGAGGAACAGCCTCCCTGATCTGAACCTGAGTGCTGTTCTGGTATTGAACTTTTGTGCTAGTCACAGCTTGTCTATAACAAACACCATGTTCGTGCACAAGGGTGTCCATCAGTGCACGTGGCACCAGGACACCCTAGGCCATAGGTCGATGATCGACTTTGTTGTTGCGTCTTCTGACCTTCGACCGCATGTCTTGGACACTTGGGTGAAGCGAAGGGCAGAGCTGTCAACTGATCATCACCTGGTGGTGAGTTGGCAGAGGAGGAAGCCAGAAAGACCTGACAGACCCAAGCGTATCATGAGGGTCTTTTGGGAATGTCTGTCAGAGCCTTCTGTCAAGGCGACCTTCAACTCACACCTCTGCGAGAGCTTCTCCCAAATCTCAGGGGAGGTTGTGGACATAAAGTCCGAGTGGGCTTTGTTCTCTGCCTCTATTATAAACTTCAATTGTACAATTGTAAACTTTATTTTATACTCTATGCTTTAAATCTGACACATCTTTCAATGCCCCTGGACACCTCATCAGATTTTGAGCTGGGCTTAGTCAGGGCTACCTTGAGTATGGAGCATTTTACTTACTCTGCATGTTTTGGGTTGATGAGGGAAACCAGAGTGCTCTGAGGTAAGCGACCCAGACACAGGGAGAAACATTTGCATAGAAAGGTGTAGGTGGCCTGGAAGTTAAACCCAAATGCAAGTACATTTGCTGCTGTTTACCTTCTGCGCGGTGAGGGACCCAGATGTTGAGGTAGAGGCAGTCCTCAGAGCCTCTGGTGTCTGTCATGAGCATATTCAACTGAAGGCAGCGAGGTTTGTAGTCTTGAGCTTTCAACACACCTGAGGAAACAGACACAATCAAATGACATGAAAAAAAAATGTAAATCATACATTTGATATGCCAAAAGAATATGGAGAGTTGTTAAATTAAATATTGGCCAGTTATAGTGAATGTAAAATCTGGATCAAGAAAATTACACTTTTCCTCATACACTTCACATGTTAAAAACATTTGTAAAGCCAATAACTTGTATGTTCCTGTGATAGAGGAGCATTAGTGTGTGCTCACCATCCCAGCCTGGATGGCGTCTGGGTTTCTCAAAGCGTCCGGGGGTGTCAGCGAAGGGAATTCCCTTGAAAATATCCATGTGCCTTTGGTAGGCCAGGCGGATGTTTTCCCCCTCCACCAAGCCGCCCTCCGTGGAAACCACACCCAGCTGTACAGGGAAAACAGCTCATTACAACCTAAACTATATGAAAATATCACAGATTTTAGGTTTTAGTGTGTCACTTTTCTGATGAGGGTTCTGCCACCTGCTTGTTTCAGTGTTATTGTTTTGACATCGAAATAATCTATGATTCAATTGCACGTGTATTAATTGCCTTGGAAAACATTCCTTCTAGGTATGTCGGGTTGCCTTTCCACAGAATAGATTCTTTAACATGCTCTGGAGCTGGCTCCATAGAGATAGACATGTCTAAAGTCAGTATGTAAAACAGGTTCTCTCTAAAACACCACAATTTGTGGAAATTTGAATTTAGAGCACAATATATCGGAGTTGTTATCTGGAAGTATTTCATGTATTTTGAGAAAATTTTGACATAAATGTAAATTTTGAAGAGTTCTATCTTTTTGTCAACTATGTCAGACATTTTCAAAATCCTAATAAGATGATCATCTAAATCTCTGCAGGAATAATTGGTTACTCAGGCTCAAAGAAATTATTTCTATTTCTATCAGCAGCTACGCTGTTTGCTTAATACATACATGGTAATTACACTTCAATTAACCGTGTTCTTATTAGGACAAAATTAAATTAACATTAGCTTTAAAAACACAAAATAATGTAACTGTTCTTGTATGCACCTTAAACTGTACTACAGAGAAGTAACTAATGCAAAAAAACATGTTCATTCTGCTCCGTGTCAACTTTTCTGTCTTTGTCATGTCACCTGTATAGTATAACATAGTAAAAATACATGTTATTTACACTGAGTGTCATTTCATTTGCTTATCCTAATGTGAAGCAGTTGGAATTAATACAAAACTTAATACAATTAAAGATGGATAAGAGGCAGTGCCCATTTTCCTCCAGAAACCAAATCATGAGCAATAATGAAATAATGCAAAACTGTATTTTTTTGTTTGTTTGTTTGTTTGTTTTCTTACCAAATACTCATTGGAAAAGCAAGTACATATACACATTTACTGCAGAAGGCTGGTCCCCCGCTGCCTCCATAGGGTTGCCGCACCAATCACGTAGGGTTGCAGCATTGAGGTTTGTGAGGCAGCCGAAGGTGAAGGGCCCAAACGAACCAAAACAAACATGGCAACGCCTGCAGACCTACTTCAGTCCATTTTAGCATCAATACTACAGGACTATTTAGGTTGTGAAAAATGTGCACAAGGTAAATCCTTTGTGTGTTTGTGGACAGGGATGATGTCTGTGCTTTTCTCTCAACTGGATGAAACTAAAGTTTGAATTTTCGTCTTGTTCCGCTGTTGTGACGCTTCAAGGCTTCAAGATTAAAATTATCGTCATGATGTTTGACATTTTCCAATTACTTTTGTTGAGAGCCATCCCAGATCGATGTGTAGAACTCTATTCAGAGTAACACACATATCAATCTGGTGTGAGCCAGCTTAGGTCTAAACAGTTCTAGTTCAATCATCACTAAAAGTGATGTGAAGTAAAAATACATTCTGTTATAGTCTATTATTTCACTTATTTGCTAATTCACAGTTCAAATAGCCTAAAAATATTGTTGTGCCAGAGGAAAAAAAGTGACCTTCAGCTGCCCTGTCCATCAAACTGAGCTTTCACACATCTGCCTGTCATCTTCAGGTCCTGACAGCAGAGACTGAGGGGTCCACACAGTGCAGGGGAGGAGGGAGGAGGTGCGCCTGTTGCAGGTAGCAGTCACCGTAGGCATCGCTTCCATATGGTAGAGCAATCCGTCATGTGGCAGTTTCTTGGTACACATCAGCTAATTTGCCCTCATAATTTAGCACCTGGCTTCCCTAAACTGTTATTTGTGAACTTATAAACGGGTTGAAACACCATTTCACAGTTTAAGTTGCAGATAACATACTTAAAATAGCATAAAGCACAAGTTACAGGTTTGAGTGTCAAGTTGAATGTGTGATGAAGTTGACATTTTAAGTTGATGTTGACAGATCCACCAACTTACTCTACTCTACAAGATGTCTAACTCGTAAATGTAGAATTGTAAACATGTTTTGTCCTGACTCTAAAGAAATTATTCTAAATAAATTTATTTTAAATTTAAAATCTAAAAAAAATTTACATAAAATATTTTTTTTTAATCCAAATGACTTACAGAAGCAGCCGAGACGGCCTCCAAAAACACGGCCACAGCCACACAGATCCCGAGCAGCACCATCGTGTCCACTCTAGCGACCAGAGCAGAGTCCTGCTGGCCTTTTATACTCCATATACTGACCCCCTCCTCTCACAGAGCAGCATCTGAGGCTCGAGGGAGACTGTTCTCACAGAGCTAATGTTTAACCAATCAATAACTTCCTCATCTGCCTGTTGGGAGAGATGTTATGGTGATGGTTTAGAAAAGGTTGCATTCAGAATTTGATGCCCTAATTTTAGTTGGAGGGCATAGGCTTACATGACTCTTTGGGAGTTTCTCTGTTTTTGAAATATCCAAAATTCCAACTTATTCATATTTTATGTGGATAGGCCCAGTAATTACAGAGATATTAACCATAAACCACGTGAAGAAATCCGCAGTCTGACACTTCAACAGTTCAATTCCACCACAGAATTCTGACCTGTCCTCCAGCTCTGTTTAAATTATAGATCTATAGATAAATACTTTATTTATCTTGAAGGATATTCATAAACCTGTTGTTTCTTCCTAGTTACTCACTGAAGGCACCAAAACTATGAACGAACACATACAGAGTGTAGTCAAAAAAAGGGATGAACTTTCCTCCTTCCCCTCAAAGTGACTTTGAGTGCACTATATAAAAGCACTATATATAAGACTAATGCTTTATATTTATTTATTATTATTATTATTATTATTATTATTATTATTATTATTATTATTATTATTATTATTATTATTACAGTAGTTCCTGATCTGTTTTTTTCCTCATCACAAACATACCTGGTGTTTTGTTTTGTTTCATTCACACACAGAAAACACTCTGTTCCACCTTGTTATGTCATGCAGCAGTGTGTTTTTAACCCCCTTACATCTTCATTAGAATCATTTTGGTCATTTCAAACGAGTTTCCAAATGAGTGGAACAATGCAGTTCCATCTAACTGCACCCTAGTGACCCACTTTGTTGAAGATCTTATGATAAAGAATTGTGTAAGTGGAGGTGACAAGTCATATGAGTTGCAGAGCTACGTCTTTGTGAGTGTGTCCTCACACAGCCCTGTACTATCAGCCTGTGGACCAGTGTACACAGCTGAAGCACAGGGCTCAGGCTCTCACTGCTCTGCTCAATCACAACACACTTCCATCTCCTCAGCTCTCTGCGCTACGTGCACTGATAACGCCTTTAATGAGGGCCAATACTCACATTAGAACTAATTCTGTCTGTATGCTGGAATGGTCCAAGGTCGCTAGTCACAAGTTGCCATGACAAACATTCAGGTAAATAATAATATTAACTGAGTGGATATTTTTCTGAGCACTGAAGAACAGATGTAAGATCTTTGTCTCCTGATATGAGGGAGACATGTTCAGATCAAATACTGAGAACAATAATCTAATAGAGGTAGGGTTCAGGTGTGATTGTTATACTGTTTTAAAACTGTAAAAGGACAGGCTACATACAGTTCCTTTTAACATGTACTTGTACTTGGGTACTCGACATGATGCTCCTTTTGCATAATCACATTAAATGACTTGCTATGATATTTTTATTCCAACAAAATTCAACTCATCTGTGCACAACTATGTATTCTATAAATTACATATAGTTTTACAATGAAGTTGTGTTTCAGTTTCTTTATATTTTAACATTAAACACTCAACTGTCCTGCGGTGTGACTGTAACTTTTCTTTTAAAAATTCTAGAATGAGTCTCTTGTGACAGTTCATAAAGATGTTGGCATAAAGAGAAGCATGTGTACATTATTTAATAATAGTAGACCTTTACTTATACTTTAAATTTAAAAAAAGATATTATCAGTATAATGAGGTAATCGAGAGGAGTGTCCTGCAGTGTGACATGACAAATCACAGATTAAACAGACACAAACACACAGCAACATTTTGTCACAGATATTCAAAATTTGGTACATATACTCATGATATGTTCTCGATCAAAAAAGTGATGCTCACTAGAGATGCGCGGATGGGCTATTTTTTCATCCGCAACCGCGACACAAAACTCATCATCCGCCCGCTGTCCATTTTGCACCGAAGGTTTTCAAAACCGCACCCGCCGCCATCCGCCGATTGATTTTAGATTTTAGAACAATCATACAGCAAACAAACTAAGGAGCCTCGATAAAAATGCAAACTCTATAGCTCATTCATTCCAAAATTCACTCAGCGTGTATGTTCGCATTCTTAATTGTCCGTAACAACCCCAAACTTACCTGGTTTTCTTGCGCAGCTAATTAATTTACGTTTTCCGACGAGGCTATTTTTGAACCTTCTTGCCTTCGTGTTGGATGTTGTTACATTCTGAACATTCTGCCATTGCCCGATGTTATTTCAAAGTCATAGCCTCACTCCATCGGTCTTTCTTTAAGTTTTAAATCCCCCGAGTGGCAGTCTACGCTATAATGTCTGCGTGTTTTAAAATAGATCTGATATCGAAACAAAATAGACAAATCATCTCATCCAGATGAACCTTTATTGAAATCAGGCAATGCCCTCTTTATATTCCAATTGAAATATGCAAGAAAAAATATGCATAACTAAATAAATATGGCCATAGCCACTTATGTGTTGGCAAACAGCTGAAATAAATTAGAAATAATAAAATAAACTGCATATAATATGTGCCTCGTAAACCTTAGGCATCAATAACCCGACACAACCTTAACCTTCAGAACATAAAAACGAGGTCAAATGGGCTAATTAAGGACATGACGTACACTTCATACTACAAGCATAGACAATGACACTCGTCTTTTCAGATGTAGGTAACAATACTAACAATAACTTTTTTTTTTTTTTTTTTTTTTTTTTAGTAGTTAAACCGCCACCCGCCCGAATTTAATTAAAATATAATTTTTCGTCACGTCATCCGCCCGACCCGCGGATTAACCGCGGATACCGCGGTTGTAACCGCAATCCGCGCATCTCTAATGCTCACGTTTGGTAGCTAGATGCATCATGCCAATAGGAACAAAAAATGATATTGTGACCACACCCCTTTACAAACCAGAAGTCCACCATCTTGGATTAAAAAAAAATCAATACATAAAAAAATTGAGAAAATGGTCTGGTTAGGTCAGTGGTAGGTTAGGGTAAGGGCTAGAGTACGTAGGACAATGTTAGGGTTAGGGTTGGAGCTAAGGTTACAGTTAGGGTTGGGGCTTGGGTTGAGGTTAGGGTTACAGTTAGGGCTAAAGCTAGGGTTAAGGTTGGGTCTAGAGTTAGGTCTGGGTCTAGGGTTAAGGTTTGTTTCAGGGCTAGGGTTAAGGTTAGGGCTAAGGTTAGGGTTAAGTTTATGGTTAGGGTTGGGGCTAAGGTTAGAGTTAGGGTTGAGGCTAGAGTTTGGGCTAGGGTTAAGAGTTAAGGTAAGGTTAGGTGCATTTGCTGTTATTATTCCATCTTAATGCTTCTTTTCTTGCTTGGCAGAAGGTTTGACTTGAAGTTGAACTAGCCATAACTCTTACAGCACATAGCACTGTTGTTATCTATGCATTAGCCTGAGGTAGTAACACGCCGACAGTGGATATTTGGGGTTAGGCAAGAGAGAACTAGCACGCTGAATCACAATAGGTCAGGTGTGTGATAAACATTTATGTCAGGGCTGTAATGTGAAGTTATGGGCAGAAGCAACGTAATGACGTCAAATTTTCTCAAAACTTCCAGCTCTCCCATAGATCTCCATTGACTTCGCTCTGACCCAGCGCCCTCAAACTCCAAACACATAATGCAAATAAAGTGATATGAGCACATTTAACATGATAAAAATATGTCTATGCAATTACACATTCAGTTTTAAACATAATATGAAACATGTAGCCTAATACAAAATAACCAGATTATCTTTTTTTTTTTTTTTTTTTTTTTTAAATCTAGGTCAAGTTAGGGAGTGTGGCACACTTACGCCCTCTTTGAACCATTTGCCACTGCAACACACATATTTTGGACCACCCTGTTTAACTTTCAGGGAAAACTGTTCAATAATATCGTCAGTGTCTTGGGGATTTGGGATCCTAGCTGTATTTTAGTTTACTTTTAACCTTCTATCGATGTAATAAACTACCTCTGTATTTATGTTTACTCTCCATCTTCTTCTTCCATTTACGTTGGACATCATATTTAAGTTTACTCTCCATCTTCTTCTCTCTATGTTGTTTACTTAGCTGGTATTGAGTATGCTTTTCATCTTCACCTTTTCTCTGTGTTGAACATTCATTTTATATTTCAGTTTACTTTTTGCTTTAACCTTATCTTAGACTAAATTATCTTGATGTTTCCCAGTTTTTTTCCAGTACATTTTGTCTGTGTGTTGTTTCTTTATACTTTCTTCGTGACATTTCTGTCATTTTCTCTTTTTATTCTCTTTTCTTTTGATCTCTCATGGATGGAGTACTACAGATAGTTTCTTTTCTACTTTACACACTTTTGATCTTGTGCTATACCCCTGACAGGCATTACTTTGCAGAAGTTATAACACAGTGTTTCACTGTCAACCACTTTAACACAAACAACTGTTTCATAGTCATTTCCATGACAGTTTTGCAAATATATTGCATTATTACATAGAACATAATTGTGGCATTTATACTGTAACCATCGACTATTAACAAAAGTGAATATAGCAACACCCAAGTAATGCGTAGTAGCCTGGATTTCAATTTCTGTAGTCCAGATATACATGTATGTCCCTCTCAGGCTCAAATTAAGTTTTAGTAACAGGAAAAATCTGATATTTGGGGAAAATTATCATATGGGGTAGTAATATACAATCCTGACTTTTTTTTTGAGAGAGACCTTCACTTCCAATGCGTTCTGGGATGTTGCGGATTTGCAGCATTGGCCCGGTGTCGTAAATTAACACTGAAGACTGAAAATGATATGAACGCTAATTCATCATCATTACAGCGATTCAAGAAGAGGTTATCTCCAGTGACATTGTAGCTCTAACACACCAGTCTGTGCCCAAAAGCAGTGCACTACGAAAGCTGAACCCCATTTTGAAGAACAATTTGATTTGTGTCAAGGCAGAGTCACTGAAACAAATACTATCATTCTGCCCAAGGACAGTCACGTCTCCCTGCTTCTAGTGAGATATTATCATAAGAAAGCAAAGCACCAAGACCACACTTTACTGAAGGAGCAGCAGGCTATTGGATCATAGGCAGAAAGCGACACATCTCCTCAGTTCTCCACAAGCGCGTGATATGTCGTCAGTTAAGTCACACAGCTGAGGTACAGCTCATGGCAGACATACCACCAGAACAATTACAAGTGTCATCACCTTTCACGTACATCGGAGTAGACATGTTTGGTCCTAGCCCGTTGTCTCCAGGAGCACAAGAAGTGGTTGGGCCATCTCGGACCATTCACATTAAGATCATCGCTCCCTCGGACATTTCCAGCTTTATCAAAGTGGAAGGACGAAGTCCGCTTGATGTCCCTCTGGTGAGAATGCAATCTGAGGTCCAAACTATAGATAGTAGGTCCAGACGAACTATTTGAAATTCATCATGATGGAGATACTAATTATTCTATTTCCTGTTTGTGGTGAGTGAAGAAAACATGGGGCAAACCTCAAATCATGGCCAAACATGGTCCAAGTAAAGGTAGAGCAATCAAAGGAACCATAATTAATGAGCTATTTGTAGTTTTCACCATCTAAGTTCACCGTTCCATATGGACTTAGATGTCCGAGCTCCCTGGGCCAGGGAGGCTCTTAGGCAGGGTTAGGGAAACCATGTCTGCCAGAGGTCAGTCTCCTCTTGGGGGGGTAGGGACCGACCCACACCATCCGTAACACGCGGGGATCTGTGGGAAGGCCACTGGGGGGAGATGGTGCATCTTGGTCTTGCTTTCGAGAGGTTTGGCGTGCAGGAAAGCCTTAGCATCCCTGAGTCAGGTGCAGTTTAACCTAGTGTGTGCAGGAGTCTTGGATATATGTCAATTGGACCAATTTTGGTTTGTTTACAGGTGTGAAAGGGGACCACACTGGAATCGATACATAATAACAATCTTATTGCCTGGTGTGAACCAAATAATTGAACTAGTGGTGTGAAAGCTCCCTTAGTGCAACTCCTACAGAAGCAACGCCTGTTATGTATACATTTGCACATTTCATTTGTGTGATTTCATGGATGTATAAATTATTTGAAAAGCACTTGTATGGTTAAAAAAGACATTATAATTATATTAGTCCATCTCCATCACAAACAGGTATAGTAGTCAGTCTCCATCATGTGTACCACAGACTCCATCACATACAGTGTGGCCAAACGCCTGAAGACAATTCTGGCTCTTCTGGTGGGTAACACGGAGCACCATATTACGAACCCAGCAGAATTTGTGAAGAAAGTCAAGCATTTCTAGTTTGACTAGGAAGGGACAATGGTTTTCTTTTGATGTGACCTTGCTTTACACTTGTGTCCCGACATCAGTAGCAGTGGATGCTACAAGAAGAAGACCACTGCAGGATACCAAGCTGGAAAAGAGAACTAAACTTTCACCTGACCAAATCTGCCAACTGCTGGAAATTTGTTTATATACCACCTATTTTCTGTTCAGAGAATACTTCTACAGGCAAATCCATGACTGTGCAGTGGACTCACCAGTCACTCCTGTCATTGCTAACTTACAGACAATTTTAACAGAGTGCCTTGACCTCTTTTCCAGGCATTTCACCCACACATTGGTTTGGTTATCTGGATGATAACTTTTCTAAAATCTAAAATCAAAATTCAAGATTTGGAACCTTTTACTGCACATATTAATGCTATAGCAACATCAAATTCACTCGTGAAGACGCCAAGGAGACACATTGGCTTTTTGTGCAGTAACGATGGGAAAAGAATGTCGAGAGCAGCAGTGGACGTCAGTCTGCTGTTCATCTCCACCTAAAAGCCACGGGTCTGTCCTTTGAGTATAGTGAGGAACAGAGAAAAGAATTGGTTTGAGAGGGGAGTTAAAGAGGTTATTTTTCTTAGAAAAGACAACCCTTTTCTGAACAGAAATGGAGGCCTCAGACATAATCTCTCTCCCATTTACAAGTCAATCCTCAGACCTAAGTCAAAACAAACAAAAAAAGAAAACAATAGGGATAACCGGGTCAGGCCCAGAGTTGTGGAAGTATCCATCAGGAGCCTGAATGATTACGCTTATATGAGTCCCCATTCAGTGCCATTCAATAGACCAAGCTAAGAAACAGAAACTGTAAACAAGTAGGTGTGTTAGTTTCAGAGTAGTTTCAATGTAGTTAGCTCCTCCCAGAACTGAACAACTGAAAAAGCTCAGCTTGGCTGAGCTGCGAAACATATTCGACCAAAAAAAACCTCTGTCCAGTTGACAAATTTACTTTCTCCTTTGCCATGGATTCTACCTGCACGACTGAGGGATTTTACATAAGTCAGCCATGATATGTCACATGGTCTCATATTAATATACCACTGATAAAAACAGAGTTGTGATAAATCCATTTATTGTTTAAATAAGCCACTTTATTGGCAATTTGTTGTAAGTGCTTTATTACATGTTACTGAGCTCAATAATACATGTACTGGAATGTGAAATTATTAAGAGATCGCTGTTTGTATTTTTCTCTTGAAGTTTCACTCTGCATTCATGAGATGAGGATTAAATCTAAAAACTACAAGTCAACAACTGTCTCATCACTGAATCAGAGTTTACCTCGCTGTCAAAATGGAACTTCTAACATCTCAATGAAGACAGTACAAAAGCATTTACAAAAAAGATAGGTATTGTAATGTCTTTAGGTAATATGAAAGCTATCAAGTAGAATTTGAGTGTGTTGTTACACATCATACAATTTTCAGTTAGCCTAATGTTAAACCAATGGAGATTTTAAGATGCTAAATAAATAATAGCGTATAAATAAATATAGCATAATAAATAAAATATAGCGTTCATTCAGAAATGTTCTCTCACTAGTATGGTTTAGTTTACACAGTTTTCCACATTTCTTTTGTTTAGTTTTCACTTGTTAAACCCTAAAATTGCTGGGCCAGATTGCACTGGCACCTTAAATACAAGGCAAATACATTAGCAACAGTCCTTTTCCTCCTCTGTTTCATTTCTCACTGAGTCACTAATTAGAAAAATTTGGTATTATTAAAAATAACAATATAATTAAAATAAAAGTCTTTTTTTTTTTTACATTTTACTAAGATAATTAGTACTAACTGTTCCTTGTGTGTTGTTCTCATCAGCAGCTCTCATTCACACATGTTCAACATACGGCTGATTAGATAAAACTCCAAAAATAGCTCACCTTTTTGATACAACATGTAACTGTTTACTTTACACTTTCCTTTTCAGGGGTATGGTTAAGATATCAGTTATTAATAAGTAAGAGCTCGCTGTTTAATGTACACTCTGCTCAAACACAGACACACCCACTTCTCCTGTTGGTCAGCCTGAGTCATGCTTTGAGTGAGTCACAGGTGGTTGTAACTATGGATTCAATGACATCCAAATCTCACAGTACAATAATATCATGATATTCATCTCATGGTACAATATTCTGCCTTAACAAGACCTAGAATTATGACAACAATAATTTACATTAAAAAATTAAGATGTAAGATACATTTTCTTATGTACTGTTAAATTTCTTTAAATTCTCTGCACTGAAACAGAGCAGAAATATGTTTGTATAATATATCATGGTCTATGTACTTCCTTCTGTTTTAGCTGCTGCAACACACACAGTATTTAGTGTATTGTTACATCCCTAGTTTAGCCAGTCACAGTGAACTGTGGGCTCGCAGTTCAATTACTGTTCTCATTACTGTTCTTATTAAAGAAGTTAATGTGCTTTTGTCTGCTATATATATACTTAATAGATGTGAATCATCATTGTATATTATAATATGGACATTTAAAATCATAATACTGGGTCTCATTCATGAAGTATTCTTATGGACAAGTTTTTTTTGGGCTATTACCGATATCCTATATATATTTGGCCTGGTGCTGTAAAATCCAGGCTCACAAAGTAACTTTTCACTTTGTAAAAATAATATTTATTTATAATATCGACAAACTAGTATTGGTATCATTAAAGCAACATTGTAACAGATCAAATCTAGTGCAATATAGTCCCTTTCATTTCATAGCATTCAAAAAGAACTCTGAGCAGTAGTAATGTGTTGTACTGTTTTACTGGTGTGTATAGTGCATGACAGTGTATAGAGAGGTTCATCAGTTTCATTCAGACTGGTTCAGGTCAGGCAAGTTGGGCAGGATACTGGTCCAGAAGTGCACATAGCGCATCCTCATCTTCTGCCGCACGTAGCCTTTGTTCATGTCGTGGTGGATCTCCAGGTACTTGTGTCCATCGGTTGTGAACTCCGGCCATGTGGCAGGGACCTCCAAGTCTCCCTGGTTTGGGTTTCTGGTAATCAGAAGTAGGAAAGTTACAGTGAGGTTTCATCCCAACTGTGAAGGACTTCCAGACATCGTCCACAATATCCAGTAAATCCATCTTATGTACACTACACCTGGTAATTGAATGAAGTCTTGGAGGTTTAATAAACCCTTATCATGGTGTCTGTATCAACCTGCTACAGAATACTGCAGTGGCTGTGGTTACATGTACACTCACAATATGATTATGAAGAGATTTTGCACATATACGTCCAGTTATAAGTTCTCTCTGATTACTTAAAACAGACTCTGTGGTTAACATATACCGTATTTTACGGGCTATTAGGCACGCTCTTAAGACTCTAAACCCCATCAAAAAATGACTGCGCGGCCCGTAATCCAGAGCACCCCATACACGAATCCATTCAGGTGTCCCAGCACGACTTCAGTAAACTACAAAACCGCACCACCCACAGCACACGCAAACATGCACGGAGCAGACAGTGACCACGCTGCGACAAACACCCGCAGTCACACTCATCACTCCACGACGACGAGGAACATAATGGAGGAACAAACCGAAAAACCGAGTGCAATGTGTCACTTCTAGACACAACTGAACAACTGAGTCACTGCGAACACGCCGACAATCCAGTGGTCCCAGACAGCACCCTCCCTACACGCCACAACTGAACAAAGCCCAGAGTCACCATGAACGCAACAAACAAAGTCCCACTGACCCATCCAACTGCTGTGTTTTGTTTAAAGTTCAGTGCCGTTTATTTGTGAAAAAAGTTTGAAAATAGAGCATTTAATGACAGTGCATGCTATAATCCAGAGTGACTAATAGCCCGTAAAATACAGTAATTTAAATAATCTTAAAGGACCAGAAATCAGATAATAATCAGATTTTGGTGTGCATGTAAACATTGTCATTGAGTCACCTGTTTGACTTGACTTGATTTTGTGGGACATTCAAGACATAGTAATAGGTTGTATTCATATTCTAGAATGTAATGATGTTATCATTTCAGATGGAAGGGAAGGGTCTGTAAAAGTGTATTTACTATTCATAAATTAGGTTAATGAAATCTGCAATCTGACAGTGAAACAGGAAATTCCATCACTGAATTCTGACTTGCCTTCAGCTAATTTTTAAACTGCAGGAATTGCAGAATGTTGTGATGTCAAATGAACACAATCAATAATATCTTTATGGAAACAATCAGGTGACAAACCCTGACAAAAGCAGAAAAGTTCTATAGTGCACCTTTAAGTGACATGAGCAGAGTTCATACCCAGTTTTAGCAAAGTTGGTCCAGTATGCGATTATGTATCTGGACAGGTCCCTGTGCCTGGGCCAGTACCCCAGAGGAGTGGTGAAGGGCTTCCCAAACACGTACTGCAGGTCATCTGCGTGATCTGCTCCCATCCAGCTGGGGTAGGGTGTGACCAGGCCCCCCATACGATTTGGCTCAGATAACATATATGAGTAAGTGCGGCCAGTTCTGGGGAGGGACACAATAAAAAGATATGCTGCTTATGTGACACATGACACACACGTGCAGTGACAGTGAGGCTTCTTCAGTTGCAGCTGGATACTGGTGAAACACTGTCTTAAATCTATCAGAAGGGGATGACTAAATATACTGAAACTAACATACTGGTATCAGCTATTGGTGATCAAGTCCATTGAACTGCTCCTGAGTCATATTTGGCATGGCTATTCAAAAAACTATTAGCTTACTCCGTCCCTATTGTTTTTCTTTATTGTGGTTTGGGTCTGCGAATGGAGTTCTAAATAGTTTATGAAGTTGTGTAGATTTGTTCTGATGATTTTATAAAATAATCTGCTACAGCGTAACATAGTTATTCTCTTACTTTAATAAATAAAGTCACTCTTCATAATTTAAACTTATTTTAATTATCCCTAGTACTAGTAATGTAACTAGTAACTGTTCTTAGTTCGTAGATGTGAACTGATATCAGAGCTCTCCTTTAGGAGCAAACTCAGGTTAAATTCTAGGTTAGTTCAGTTAGATCTGCTCTGGATCAGATTAGGCTCACAGAGTAACTCACGTAAAATGCAATTTGATTGTATCTCCATTTTTTTTATTTCTTGAAGCATTAAGCACAATTAAAATGTAACTGTAGAGCTGTAATTTTACAACATACAACATTTTTAAGATAGATGGATATTCCTTACCATCTATAAGTTTCTTAGATTTTTCGTTAGATGGCAGATGTGAAACTTGCCCCCCATTCTCTCACCTGGCCTTGGTTCAGGCTCACCTGTGCTCCCTGGTCGTCAGAGCTGGTACTTTATCAGACAGCAGTTACGTAGCATCTACTTGTGAGAACTACAACAGGGCTGGGGTGACCCATCTAATTAAAAATATCAGCTTTAAACCTTCCTTTCCATCAGATAAGATGTAAAATGGTTCTCACGTGGCATGTTTGGCGTGGAGATATAGAGCAGCCTGAGTGGGCACCAGGAAGATGTAGTCTGTCCCAATGGCCACGACGGTCTTCTTGACAGTTTTTCGGTCTGGGTTAGTGCGCCAGTCGGAGGAGTAAAGGGAGAAGGCGTTCTCCATTCCAGCTTTACCTTTGTCTTTGGTGTATGAGGCCAGCAGTGTCTTCACGTCTTCACTGCAGCACACAGATGTGATCAGCACAAAATAACAACAACTCTATGCAACAGTTTATGAGTTCTCAAACTGTAGTGATGCATTATTTGCTCTATAAATGCATGGGATCCACTGAAAAACAAGAGGATATAGTGTAATTATGCTCCCTTGGCTCAGTGCATCTCATATACTTTTAAATAGTAATAAAAAGTTATAATAACAGGATGTACCACCTCTGCATAAAAATTAACAAAAAAAGGAAATTCTATTCTATTGTGTATACTTTCCAAACCCAGCACAGTTGCCATAGCAATCTTAATTGTCAAAAGTCCTCAAAATGTGCTTCAGCTTCCTGTTATATGGTGCTATTTTGAGAACGATTAATCATTCCTATATACATGTAATATCTTATTTTATATTGCTAACTGCTATGGTAAAGGTCCTATCTTTTCATCCTTCTGAAACCCATGAACATGAATGGTCTAACTCACATGGGCGTATCCACCAACATGGAGTTGATCGAGGGGACGTCCAAAGCAGTGAACATGTGTCCGTCCATGTCATTGACCCCGGCGATGTAGTCGATCTCAGCAGCGTTGTGGAACAGCTTTGAGGGGTGGTCCGGCAGGAAGTCTCCATCCACCACCGCAGACAGAACCAGGTTTTCCACCACAGGCTCTACATGTGGACACACTTTTGGATTATTAACTGTTTATCAAAATTATGAAGACTTTTTCTAACAGTTGTGATTGTCATTTTCATTTGTGTTTTAAAATCAAAGATTCAGTTTTTACTACATTTCACTCACGTCCACATACAAACTGACAAGATTAAGAGAGATCATGTGATATCAGTGAATAATTGCAGCCTTGCTATTTGTTAATGGAAATCTAATCTTGGCCCGAGACCAGGCACATACAAGATTATATCATTATATTGTTTTTAATAGAGAAGATAAACCAAACAAACCAATGATGATGACAAAAAATAATGAACGAAAGTGTTACCAGCAGGGGAGCTTTGTGGGTTGAGGGTCCCGGCCATGGTGAGGACCACAGGGTCAGTCATCTTGAGACAGGCCGCCATCCTGCTGTCAGTGGGACAGTTCACCTTCAGAGCCACCTGATACACACACAAAGAGAGACATGGCTTGGAAAAAAATGTACCTGAATTATGAATTAATATCTAGTTTAGTCAAAGAAATTAGAGATCAAAGGTCTTATCAAAATAAACAGCGTGTATACAACGTTTGGGTTGTGAATAAGGAGTGCTCTTTATTAATAATAAAGCATTTTTTTTCTTATATTTGTTCTTACTGTATGTAGAAAACAAGTTCAAACTGATGTGAAGTCAATCAAGTAGTTTTCTTTTTGTATCTTTGATTTTATGTTGATGTAGAAAGTTTCTTGTGACACAGTCTTCAACATGAAAATCATGTTACTCTCACCTCCTCAGCAAACTTTCGCGGATTCTTGATGACACCCCAGGGACACAGGGCTACTCCGCTCTGAGAGATGGCTCTGCGGAACAGGCCCTTATTGTGAGGAGTCAGGGTCTGCCACAAAAACAAACAAGGTCAATAATATGTCCTTCGATAGTAGGGAAGGTTACTTGAAGGGATCACAACATCCACTCTAGTACTTGAGCTATATTCCTTCACTTTGTAGTAGTCAGATGAATTATGAGCAATATGATACGGTTCAGGGTGGAGGGTTCGACCTTTTTTGTCACCATGGTTCTGCCATATCCTAATAAACCTCTATCTCCATCTCCATGGAGACAAGAAGGTTACCCCATGAGGGTCAAGTTACTTGTCTGATCTGAGGAGAGGTGCACCTTTACATTGTATGCTTACATTGCATTGCTGCCAGACTGTTGATAAAATCATGGCTGTAAGATTGTCTATTGTCTTATGCCTCAGTCAAAGAAAGGACCACTGTATAGAGTTGTTATACAGTGTTCTATTAATTTAGTTTAAGTTCCACACTGATGTATAGAAGAGATGGTGCAGACCTGGAAGCTGACGCTAGCGCCCCCTGCAGACTCTCCAAAGATGGTGATGTTGTTGGTGTCTCCTCCGAATGCGCGGATGTTCCTGTGCACCCAGGCGATGGCAGCCTGCTGGTCCCACAGTCCATAATTTCCTGAAGACACATAAAATATTTTAAATAAAACCTAAAAACTTAAGTAAAAGCAATTCCACAGAAATTCTGAGATTATAAACAAGAGGGAGGAAATAACATGGGGTATGCAGGAGAAGTCAGTCTGGTTCTTGTTGATTAATCTTGTTGATTAATCTGGGGGGGGGGGCAAGCCTAAGCTTGTGCAGAAGGTTGAGAGGTACCAGCTGGACCCGCTATTTTTCTGGTGTTGCACGTGGGAAGCAGTGGCAAGCTGGTGTGGGCCTGCTCATAGCCCCACAGCTCAGCCGCCATGTGTTGGAGTTTACCGCAGTGGACGAGAGGGTTATGTCCCTGCTCCTTCGGGTCAGGGACTGGACTCTCACTATGTTGGCCTACAGGTCGAACAGCAGTGCAGAGTACCTGGCCTTCTTGGAGTCTCTGGGAGGGGTACCTCCCTGATTGAACCCGAGTGGTGTTCTGCTACTGGACTTCCATCACCCTGGCTGAAGTCAGTGAGGTCGTTGACAAGCTCCTCAATGGCTCCGGGGGTGAGATCCATGTATCTTAAGTCTCTGGATCTTGTGGGGCTGTCTTGGCTGACACGTGTCTGCAGAATTGCGTGGTGGTCGGGAACAGTGCCTCTGAATTGGCTGTTTAAGAAGGGGAAACGGAGGGCATGATCCAACTACAGGGGAATCACACTTGGCAGCCTCTCTGGTAAAGTCTATAGCATTCGACCGATAGTCGAACCTCAGCTTCAGCTGGACCAGCTCTATACTCTCCATCAGGTGCTCAAGGGGTCATGGAAGTTTGCACAACCAGTCCACGTGCTTTGTGGATCTTTTAAAAGGCAGTCGACCCTTGTTGTGTCCTGTGGGAGGTGCTCTGGGAGTCTGGGGCCTGGGGCCTTTTGCATAGGGCTGTCTGGTCCCTGTGTGACAAGAGCAGGAGCTGTGTTCACATTGCCGGCAGTAAGTCAGATCTGTTCCTGGTGTATGTTGGACTCCAATAACTAGGGTTGCCCTTTGTGACCAGTTCTGATTTATGGACAGAATTTCTAGGTGCAGTCAGGGGCCGGAGAGGGGCTGGTTTGGGGACCACAGGATCTCATCTCTGCTGTTCGCAGATGATGTTGGACACCAGGACAAAAATAAAACAAAATAAAACACAACAATAGGTTTGTTTTTGATGAAAAGACAGCATTATCACATGATTAAAAGCACAGAAACCTGGAATGACTTCTAGAGGGCTGAATGATCTCTGCACATGTGAATAAATAAGCATGGAGGATGTTTAAAATACTGCATCTGCACTGTTGAAAACAAAGAGAAACAACTAAAATATGTATGAATAATTCTAACCAGGCATATCAGACTCTCCGGTGCTCAGGAAGCCCAGGGCCCCTACACGATATCCCAGAGTCACCACAATGACGTTCCCCCTGTCTGCGATTTCCTGTCCATCATACAGGTAGTTGTCCAGGAAGTTAGCCCCCATGGAGCCCCCCACGAGGTAGCCCCCTCCGTAGATCCACACCATCACAGGCAGGTTGGAGGAGACTAGGGTACAAGAGGAAAACAATGATAAGTAGTGCCTTATTTAATAGAACTGTATGCAGTGTCCTCAAGGGGCCATAAAAAGCACACAGTGACACAGACTTGCATTGCTCTTACTTCCATGAGAGGAGATTTAAAGCAACACACAAGCAGGTGGATTAGGTTTCATTGGATTGGCACTGGCCATTTCCAGGCTTGTCAAGTGTGCAAAATGTCATGAATTGTGTCTGTTTATTAAAAGGTGGTTAACTGAACTGAATGTGCTACTGTAAAAATTAAAATACACCTCGCACGGTCTACGTGAAGTTTACTTGTGTTCCATATCGTCAACAATATATATATAATAATAGTAAAATGTTCTGCCACAAAATCATCAAAACTTATGTTGTGGTTTTGAAGTTACTGTTTGTGGCACCAAGGAGAGGGAGGACTGTCTCTGAGGGCACATACACACACACACAAAGAGGAAACACTGACTTGGCAAGTTAGGAGACTTGTGTAAAAGTTGTGCACTTACCTTTACGGTCATGAGGAACCCAGATGTTGAGGTAGAGACAGTCCTCAGAGCCTCTGGTGTCGGTCATGATCATGTTCAACTGAAGGCATCGGGCTCTGTATTCTTTGGCTTTCAACACCCCTGAGTAAACAGACACAATTTGATTCAACTCAGTATGTTTGAAGGCTGCTACAACTAATCAAGGATGTAGTTTTAGTAAGATTATGGGCTTAGATTTTTGGTCAGTGATCTCAAGCATTTCATACACAAAAATATTTGGTTTTCTTGAATCCTGAATACCACCAAATCTGTTCCTGCTTAGACTGCTGCCCCCCTCAACAAGGCCCCAGATAATCAGATAATCATGGATGGAGGGAAGCATGGGTGATCTGTTCCACTGGACAAAGGTCATACCTTGTGGAAACTCAGGACCTAATTTGGCTGAAATCACACCTCTTGCTTCTGCTCATATATGTGCGCACATCACAAATAGGCATAATTAATACATATTCAACATTAATTTCAACAGAAAGCTAGATAAGACAGTCTTATCTACTCCCCCAATCTATAGATACCATTCAAACCAATCCACCTTTTCAAACACTTCATTCTTTAAACATGTTAAGTAAGTTAGCGAGTAAGTTTTTATTTATATAGTTCTTTTCACAGACATATGGTACAAAGACGCTTTAAAGAGCATTATTCATTCACTCCATAACCAGTGGTGGTAAGCTACTATTGTAGCCACAGCTGCCCTGGGGCAGACTGACTGAAGCAATCGGTGCCAATCAGTCCCTCCGACCACCACCATCACTCATGCCACTCATGCACACAACGCTTTCATACTAGGCAATGTGGGTGGAGTGTCTTGAATAAAGGCACATCAGCAGTTGTGCCCCCCCGACTCATTTACGTGTTTCATATTCAAATGCTGTCTGTTTAACTGGTCTATACCTGTTCATAAACCACAATTTGTGGTGCACAAAAGTGATTCTTATGTCCAGATATGGGTCAGTATATTAGTAAAAGATTTTACCAGCCTTCAAATTATTGAATAATTAATCCAGATGGTTGATTATCTTGAACTCAACTTTGAGTGTTGCCCCAAACACTTCTTCCAGTTTAGTCTAGCTACACACTCACAGAGAAAGTCTACATGAGTCCTCACCCATCTTGGAACTAAACTTACTTTCTGTTGTACATAGAGTTGCTTTTTTCTTCACTAATTTATAAATATAGGTGTGCTGATGATAAAATCAGAGAGATATATATCTTAGGATCCTGTACTGTATAGTATGAATGATGTGTGAATGTTGTCTTTGTGTTGTGTTTGTATTTTGTTTTGCTTTGAAAGCTATTTTTGTAAATGTATTTAGGACTCCCTCGCAAAGGAGATGCTACATCTCAAGGGGCTTTCCTTATAGATAAATAAATAAATAATCAAATTCTTTATATCAACTTAGTCTACTCCCATACATTACTTTGCATGTGTGTGTAAGTGTGTGCCCACCGTCCCAGCCTGGATGGCGTTTGGGTTTTTCAAAGCGTCCGGGGATGTCAGCGAAGGGAATCCCCTTGAACACGTCCATGTGTCTGCGTAAACCCAAGCGGATGCTTCGGCCCTCCACCATGCCCCCCTCCGTGTACACCACTCCCAGCTGCACACGGAAGACAATTCATTACAACCTGCCTATGTAACTTCTGTGGCATCATCTGCCTGTCTTTGTGGATATGTTATTGCTTTGACTGGACGGTTCCACTCTGTTATAAAACTAATCTATAATTGAATTACACTTGTTTTTTAGTATTGTTATTGTGCAGTTGCCTCCCCAGAGTTGATTTGTAAGATGGCCTTGTGCAGCTTCACATAGATGAGTCTAGTTCCATACAGTTCACCTTTAAAGCATCGATTACACTAGTACATATATTGTACTGCTGTATAATATCAACAGTCCATTAAATTTCAGCATAAGTATAATAATTAATTACATCTACACTATCCTTGATCACAACTATATAAAACACAAACTAGGAAAATAGTCAAAAAATATTTTAAAAATTCAAAATAATGTTTCTGTTTATAATTCTAAATTGTAGATACAATTAAAAACATCCAGAAGACTTACCGAGGTAGCAGAGACGGTCTCCAAAAACACGGCCATAGCCACACAAATACCAAACAGAGCCATTGTGTCTAGACTGTAAGGGCCAGACTGGAGCCCTACCAGACCTATATACTCCATACACTGACACACACACACACCCCCAGAGCAGCATCTGAGGCTGGGGGGCACTTTTCCCACAGCGGTAATGTTTAACCACTGTGCAAGACAGAGTTCAATAACCTGTTCATATCTGCAAGTTCTTATATTCTGTTGCTGTTATACACTGTTTAGAATAGGTTACATTCATGTTCTAGGATTTGATGATGTAATGCAGTATGTATGTCTATTGTCTATCTTCCTAAAAGTGAATCAGTTCAATACGGAGCCCTGCAGGGGCAGTGGGGTGGGGGTTTAAATACAAAAAATCCTGAGAAGTTATCACATGATTCCAAGAAATTACCACATGATCCCAAGAAATTACCACATGATCCCAAGTAACACAATCTTTTTATTTAAACCCTCATGCCGCAGCCCCTGTGGGGCTCCGTAGTTCAATTGACTGATCTCAGTACTTTTGTACATACATTTGGTGAAATTATTTGGTAATAGGTGAAGCATTCAAAAAGAACACAAAACAGTAGTAATGTGTTGCTCTCTTTATTGCTGTAAACACAGGTAGATCAGTCTTATTCAGATTTAGTCATGTTGGGCAGACTGGGCAGCACTCTGGCCCAGAAGGTCACAAAGCGCAACCTCATCTTCTGGTGGACAAAGCCCTGGCCCATGTCGTTGCGGATCTCTAGGTACTGTTCTCCACTAGTGTGGAACTCTGGCCAAGTGACAGGGACCGACGAGCCGCCCCGGTTTGGGTCTCTGTGGAGGAACAAGGAGAAAAGTTTCTAGAGGGTTCTAGACCTGATGAGCAATAATTGAAACCATAGACTGTATGTATAAATGGACATAACTAACCCATTATCTGCCACATTCTCACCCTGTCTCCCATTGACCTACATTGGAATATTGTTGTCCTCTCTCTGTAATTGCTGCAGTGAGCCTTGTCATTTTGGGCTTTAACCCACTCTACATGATCCTCGTATTTTTCTTCCACTATTTTGTCAGTTAAAAAAAATCCTATTCATAATACAGAGCCTGTAACCACTAACATCTCGTGCTTCATTTAAGCGGAGTGGTTGACGTCACTCGCTTAGTCCACTTCTTTATACAGTCTGTGGCCAAGTTTACATGATGTTTTTTACTTGCGATTTAATTGTTCCAATTTAATTAATTCAGAATTACATTATTCTCCTTCGAGTTTACATGGAGATAATAATTCCAAATTAAGGTTCACATGGAAAACACATTAAATCGCCTTTATATAAATCCGCTCACTGTTTGAGGGTGGGGAAGAATTCTGATTGGACAGGGACATGAAAGTACTTACGTCGACCGGAAGAAAACACACACTTCAGTAGCTACTGACTTTTTTATCATCTCGGTTTGTTGTTACACCTGGGGATGCATACCACTGTTCCCTCGCCCATACAGACTGGGGAACAACAGTCCAAACCCAGACTCCTGAACCAGTGGAAGCAGCTCCAGTTCAAGTCGGGCCCGGATGAGCTGGACCGGGGAGTGGTGTTAGGTGCCTCGGCTTGAGAAGCGCTTTCACCGGGAAGAACCAAGAGCACAGAGGACGGACGCACAGATCAACATATAATGAACCAAATGGGATTCACAATTCTGTGTGGATGCTGCACCACCTCGGCACCAGCCGAGCCCCTTGAGCACGAAGGACAGGGGTAGCCACAGCGCATTGTCACTTTCGCCGGAGGGACCCGTGCATGGTCTTGCTCTCACCCGTCTGGAACCAGCATATGCAGAATGGAGCCTATGGACCTATCTGACCAACCCGCTCGGAGGACGACACAAAACCAAGGATGGGCTGCATGCTATGGTGAGTCTCCTTTGGGCCTGGCTCCACTGCACCCGTCAGCGCTTATGCACGTAACTTCGCGAAACCACAGCCGCGCGTCAATGTGAAGGCGATTCCACCGGCAGCTGCAGCGGGATGTACATACGCAGCACTGGCTCTGTGTTTCTCAATGGGAAAGCCGATCAAACTTGACTGGGCGCGTTTAGTCGCTTGTATCAGGTCCACAGTGAAACTAACCAGCTGAACAGGCTTGTATTTACCTTGTGTACAGGCTGATCATGGCAAACGCAAAGATTTCAAAAGTAAATTTTAAAGCACTAATTAACAGTATTTCTGGACCTGGACTCTTTCACATGACACAGAACTGCCCCAGGAGTAAGTTGTGGTGATGGTAAATGTACAAATACAACAATAGATGCATGCTGTCTGTATTTTGATAGGCACTGGGAAACAGAGGTATGGGGACACAAACATGATCCAAACTTTTTTTGGAAGGGTGATCCAACATGCGGAATTAAATTATTTTTGATCGGAATTAAAGCTCTCATGTAAACGGGACAAGCCTTTGAAACTGTCGTCATGGTAACATGGTCATGTTCTGTAAAATTCTAGTCAAAGAAGCCATGCAAACTCATATGGAGAGCACATCTTATTGATGCTCCTGAACTTGAAAAATGCACGAATGCTCACCAGAAGTTTGGCTAGAAATAATTCCAGTGCTGTGTGTCTGGGGCTTTTTAAATCTAAAGAAATAATCACACTCTCATTGTAAAGTCATATTATTTGTTGCAGATGTAAAAATAGGGGCTGTGTTTCCTTTCTTTAAACTTAGTGTTTAAGTAACAGCACAGTAAAATGGGACTATGTTCACCGATTTCATGCGGCTATTTCTCAGAGACTGTATATATAAATGGACATATCTATTCCACATTCCAAAAGGGGAGTTTGCATGCTGCTCTCCCGGCTCCTGCTGACCCTGGCTCCCATTGATTACTCTCGCCCCTCTCTCTATAACTGCTGCTGTGAGCCTTGCCATTTTGGTTTTAATATGTTGGTATTAACCCACTCTACAAGTAGGTTAAAACCACGGGTGTTTTTTTTTTTTTGCTGTTTTGTCCATGTAAAAAATCCTGTTCATAATATGGAAGCTTGCTTCAAATTTGCTCCTGTAATCATTAGCTTCACAAGCTTCATTTGAGTGGTGCTGAAAGTTATGGGTGACGTCACACTCACTTAGTCCATTTTTTATACAGTCTATACTATCTCCACAGAAACAAATAACATTTTTCTTTTGAGAAGAGAAACAGCAACAAATACCACTGGTTACCTCTATTAAACGCTGTTAATGAGTAGAATCGTTTGTATTGGGTTACATAAAATTTAAAAAAAAAGTGACTTTCTGATATAAAAGCATGTGAATGTAAACAAGTCGGAACACTGTCACATCATCTCGGCGTCCCAGGGCCACATGAACGCAGCATTTGCAGCTGATGTCATCAGTCATAGGGTAGAGGCAAACTGACGGCAGATGGATGGGTGAGAGATGGAATCGCACTGATGTTTATGTTGTGAGTGGAATTTAAACCAACTTTCGAATCAGTGGACAAACACTCTACTAACTGAGCTACTGCCACACAAACAATAATATCTCTATGGAGAGTAGCAGGTGTTGTAGTCTCTGTTAAGAAGTTCCACAGTGCACCTTTTAAATTACATGAGCAGAGTTCATACCCTGTTTTGGCGAAGTTGGTCCAGTATGCGATCATGTATTTGGACAGGTCCCTGTGCTTGGGCCAGTACCCCAGAGGAGTGGAGAAGGGCTTCCCAAACACGTACTGCAGGTCGTCCGCATGGTCTGCTCCCATCCAGTCGGGGTAAGGCGACATCAGGCCCCCCCAGCGGTTAGGCTCAGAGAACAGATACGAATATGTGCGGCCAGTTCTGTAGAGGGACACAACAAATAGATAATCATCTTTCATTGATTATTGTCTATAAAGAGCAGTACTATTACTTAAAAATAACATAACTTAATTAGAACTATAGTAGTGTTTTAAGTAATTACTCAAATAACAATAAAGTTGCATCTCCACAAACCTGACTGGAGGAGGATGGATATCCTCTGGCTTAAATTTTATTTTTATAAGACGTAAAATGGTTCTCACGTGGCATATTTGGCGTGGAGGTACAGAGCAGCCTGAGTGGGCACCAGGAAGATGAAGTCTGTCGCAACGGCCACAGCGGCCTTCTTGATTTCCTCGCGGGTCGGACTGGTGCCCCAGGTGTCGGAGTAGGTGGCGTAAGCTTTCTCCATGCCAGCGTTACCTTTGTCTCTGGTGTATGCCCCCACCAGTGCCTTCAGATCATTACTGCAGCACAAAATAAAAGAAGGCATATACTTGTTTATCGTGTGTAAGATTTGATTTTGTATGTTGTGTTGGGATGCTCCCTTGTCTCAGTGTATCTTAGAGGTACTTAAAATTATACATTAATAAAATAAATGTACCGAAAATTGAATGAAAATTTGCAAAAGGCCAGATCTGTTATTTTTCATACTTTTTCTTTCCTCTCCTTTCTAGGGCATGGTTCAACTGGGCTAGTGTGAGCACACCTTAAAGTGCATGTCCTGTGACCGCTGGTTAATCTGCTTGTCTGTTATTAAACAATGACTGTTTCATTGTTTGACTTTCTAACTTTCTATTGATTAAATCAACAATTTTATGAAGCCCTTTGGCATTATTGCTGTTGTGATTTTAGGCTATACAAAAATAAACTTAATTGAATTGATGTACATAGCACCCATATCACATATCGCAATCTTTTCCAATATTGTGAAGCCCTGGGTGAAACCTGTATATGGTCAATAGCCTAACTCACATGGGCGTATCCACCAGCATTGAGTTGATCGAGGGGATGTCCAAGGAACTGAAGATGTGTCCGTCCATGTCATTGACCCCGGCGATGTAGTCGATCGTAGCCGCGTTGTGGAACAGCTTTGAGGGATGGTCCGGCAGGAAAGTCCCCATCCACCACCGGGGAAAAAATCAGGTTCAGGATCAGAGGTTCTACATGTGGACACACTTAGGATTAGGAATGAACTATTTGTTAAAAATATAGTACAATTTTACACACATTCAGTGTGTTCACTGTGAAC